GATGCGCGACTAACGCGGCAGTTGCGTCAAGTGCACCGCTTCCGGGTTCACGGCGGTGGTCGACGCGTTCTGCGAAGCGGTGGCAGAACCGTCCGTGACCACGACTGCGGGGACATTCGGAACGCCCGGTTGCTGATCTGGGAGTGGTGAGTTCTCGCCCGGGACGGCGGGTGGAGCTAACCCCACCACCATCGCCCCCATGGGAACGTTCGGCACGCCGGGGATCTGGTCCGGACATGAACCCGGAGGCAGTGTAATGCCCTTGGCTTTGGTGATGCCGTCCTGCTGATCGTAGGCCGCCCCCACGGCTGCGCCGGCGGGTGGCGCGTCCTCCAGGGCCTTGGCGTCCACCGTCATGGCGGTGTACGTCGCGGGCTGCGCCTTCCTATCGATCGAGCCGTCCGCCGCCTGGTCGTTCTGCTCCGAGTCGCTGTCGTGCTGCTCCCTCGCTGCCTTGAGGTCCTCCTTGGCTACGTGGGCGTGTTCGCTCTTCTTTCCGTGTGAGTGGTGTTTCGAACGAGCCATTGCCGTCTTGGTAAACCATAGCGAATATAATTTTCCTCGCGGGTGGCCCGACCGCGGCCACCACGCACCGCTCGAACGTCATGATGAATCTCGCTCTCCGGATCTCCTGAATCGCTCGGCGTGTTTTGCAGGTCGGGTGCGGTGCCTTCCTAGATGATCCGACGCCCGTCGGCGCTGGGTTTTTGCCTCGGAGGCCTGGGCTACTTGTGAAGACGCAGAGGGCGCTTAAGGAAGGGCCATGGGGGCGACTTTGACATCGAGTTCGCACGGTCGCGTTGGGAGAAAACTCGTGTACATCACGGAGGAAGTAGACCGGAAAGCCATAAGAAAGCGCTCATGTGTGAAGGCGGGGAGGTATAAGGAAGTGCCATGGGGCTGGGAGCACTACCCCAACATGCAGCAAATACATTACGCACCCAGACAAGCAGCACTCGGGAAGTTGTATACGTCTTGAGGAAGCGGGGGTATTGTACACGTCTTAAGGAAGCGCAGGGTGCCATAACGTTTTCGGACTTTACAATGAAGTGCGCCTGCGGGAGGGTGCGGCCTAAGTTCGGGCTCGAAGGCGGCAGGGCTACTCACTGCAGCAAGTGCAAGACTGAACATATGTGGGACGTGGTACACCCGAAGTGCGCCTGCGGAAGGGGGCAGCCTACGTTCGGACTCGTAGGCGGCAGGGCTACTCACTGCAGAACTTGCAAAGACGCATATATGCGGGACGTGGTGAGCCCGAAGTGCGCCTGCGGGAGGGGGCAGCCTAAGTTCGGGCTCGAAGGCGGCAGGGCTACTCACTGCAGCAAATGCAAGTCCGATGATATGCTGGACATACGCAGCGCGAAGTGCGCCTGCGGGAGGGGGCAGCCTAAGTTCGGGCTCGAAGGCGGCAGGGCTACTCACTGCAGCAAATGCAAGTCCGATGACATGCTGGACATACACGGCGTGAAGTGCGTCAATGGGTGCGGTACGAGGGCCGTTCATGAGCGCTACAAAGGACATTGTCTGCGGTGTTTCGTGCACTTGTTCCCAAGCGAGAAGGTGTTTCGCAACTACAAGGTCAAGGAGCAGCACTTTACTGATTACATCAAGGCGGCGGGCGTCCTTCCAGAGCATGCGGGGATCACCTTCGACAAGCGGCTCCAAGGGGGATGTTCGGGAAAGCGGCCCGATATCTTCGTGGACGTGTACACTCATACGGTGCACTGCGAGAACGACGAGGATCAGCACCGTGGCGCTACGTGCGAGAGCAAGCGCACGATGGAGCTCTTCCAGGATGCCGGCAACCGCCCCCAGGTCCAGCTGCGGTTCAACCCGGACGGCTTCACGTCTGCGGACGGGATCAAGCACCGGGGCTGCTTCAAGTACAACAAGTTCGGAGTGCCGGTGATACGGGACCTGGCCACGTGGCAGAGGCGCATGGGTGCGTTCATCGAGCGCCTGCGTTACCATCTCACCAACGTGCCGGATCGCGAAGTCACGTTGGAGCATATGTTTTACGATGGCTACGATTGGACTAGCAACATAGAGGGCGATAGACTAGGCCAGAAGCGCAAGCGAGTGGATAATCAAGTGCATTAGGAGAACGTAGTCGTTGAAGAGGAGTGCCTCCTTCTCTAGAGGTCCAAGCGACTGAAACTGTTGCGGTAGAACCTATGGAAAAATGACATGTACGTTCACCAAACCCTCACTTTTGGCCCAGGCTGCTGAGAAGAGAAGCGGTGCTCATATGGTCACCTCACGTGCTCTGTGAGGACGATTCGGTCCAAGTCGCACTCGACGAGATCACTTTTGGAACTTCCTGAGTCCCAGCTTCGATATGTCTTTTCTGTTCGCTAAGTATGACGATGCCGTACGTATTCGACTTTCAGGGGCCCGAGGCCAGCTTCCGATGCGACCTGATGAGCGAGCAGTGCACGGCGCATTCTGCGTCCGGTGCGCGATGCAAGCGGGTCGTGTGCATAGGCTTGCCATACTGCTGGCAACATATGAGGTCCGTGTCTCACGTGACGATCAAGGACGGCGTACACGGCAAGGGCTTGTTCGCATGGGCTCCCGGGGGCGGGCATGCGAAGGTTTTTCGAACCGGTGACCCTTTGGTCGTCTACGGAGGAGAACATCTAGCGACCCCACAGATCGATCAGCGATACGGTCTGCAAACCACTGCTCCGTATGCGCTAGAGCTCACGCAGAACCACATCGTAGATGCGGCATGTAAGAGGGGCATCGGGTCCATCGCCAACGCCCCACGCGGGACCAACAAGAAGACGAATGCGAAGTACGCGATGAATAACGTCACCGGCACCATGATTCTCCGGGCCACCAGGCCGATCTACGGCGGGCAAGAGATCCTCGTGGGGTATGGCGGCGGGTACTGGGCGGGTCACAAAGGCTCACACAAAACAAGGAGACGTTGACCGATAGAGAATCGGACTACGAATCAGACTTCCAATCGGGCACAAAAAACCGGGGAAAGCTGACTCCAAATGCCCGGAGGTGACGCCACGGAGTGATGACGTGGCAGTCTGCTCAAAGGAGTCGGTATCCCTAGTGGATTCTCTCATAAGACGCATTAAAAAATGTGTCTTACGGAGGATCCTCGAGTCTGAATT